GTCCCATGCCATGGGTTTTGGTGTAACTCAGTCTGTGTTCCTAGGAGAGCAGAAGGTACCTGACCTCAGCCTGTATTTTCGTTTGTTCGAGATAACGGGCGTTGGTATGGTGTGACTTGCCCCACCACCCTCACAGGATGTCTGCCTCCCTTGGCCCGTTCCTACGATGGCCTCGGCTGCCTGCTGCAACTTAGGGGTCACCATGGAGAGCATAGGGGCTGTCCGTGAGGACAGTCTGGAGCTGTGTACTGGGTATCAGGGAGAACCCTGTGCCTTATGTCTCTGCTGGGTTGGATGAGCTCGAGGAATGGTATTGGGGAATCTCTGAGGCTGCCTTCATCCTGTTGACACTGAACAATCCTCAGTCTGACTCCTCTGAAGTGGAGCAGTGAGGCAACTGAACACCATGGGGAAATACTTCAACTCATGGTGAGAACAACCTATGTCACTTCAGTCTTCTGGCTCCCAGGCATAGTGAAAATGGGCCGCTGCTGCAGCGCTGCGAAGCTGCTGCAGCGCTGCGAAGCTGCTGCAGCGCTGCGAAGCTGCTGCAGCGCTGCGAAGCTGCTGCAGCGCTGCGAAGCTGCTGCAGCGCTGCGAAGCTGCTGCAGCGCTGCGAAGCTGCTGCAGCGCTGCGAAGCGCGGGGAGGCTGCTGCAGCGCTGGGAAGCTGCTGCAGCGCTGCGATCCTTCGTTCTCTCCTGAGCCAGCTGCTGGGTGGGCCCTGGCTGCTTTGGTTGCCAGAGGTGCTTTTGCTTTCCTGTGTCACATTAAAGCCATGCAAATAGTTTCTATAGCAACAGGTCTTTTTGCTTAGCTCTGACGCAAAATCCTGAAAGGTCTTTCTCATTCTGTCTTCATCCAATTCTGATTTTTGCTTTTATGAACTTTTTTTTTGAAGATAAAGGGGGAAAAATTAATTCGGCTCTGTTTCAGGAGTTAACTTGCAGCAGAGGTGATTGTTCAGTTTTAAGAGCCCACTGAAGTTTCTACACCAGGACTTGAACTCTGGGCTGAAGGAAAAATTGGCTGGAATAGTACAGAGTGCCCTGACTGTACATTAAATGTTTGTTCTTGTTCCCCTCCTCCCAGCCATATAATTCAGATTTAGCTTTTCATTAATGTGATGCGTCTAGGCTTAAGGACTTACGCAGTAAATTCCCTCAGCTTTTCTGGGGTGTTGGAGAATGAAAATGGTGTTATTTGCAGTCTCCTTCGGCTTACAGACAGGGCTTGGTGGCAGTGCTTGAGCACAGCTGTGACTGAAAGCGGGGAGGGAAGTATGACTGAGAGGCCAAGAGATGATGTGTGAACGTGCCCATCCTCTTGCTAGCAGAGGAGATGCTAGTCCTGTCCTACTGATGTGGATTACGTAGGTGGTACTTGGAGGGAGTAGAAGAGTTGCTTCATTTGAGGGGAAGAATTTCCTTTTTATATTAAGGAAGAGTAGGCTGTTGAGGAGGTGCCAACCTGGGCCACAAGTGCCTTGCTTTGTCAGGAAACCAAGGCAGCAATATTGACTTCTAACCCTCCTTCTCTCTAAGAGCCCTGTTGACTTCCACGCTTTCACTTTGAACATCCTAGTGCCACAAGAGGAAGGGGTAGAAAAGCTGTAATTGCATTAGAAGGGCAGGTGAGTGTTTTAGAGTGGAGAGATGCAGTCAGTGTAACAGCCATGTTGCTCTGTGTGAGCTGGGACAGGCCTGGGGAGGGACAACAAGACTTTTAGACTGTGCCCTAGCAAGAGTAAATGTTTTGGGGCCTCCAAATAAGGAAACTGGAATCAAGCTAGTGAAGTGAACAGCGTGGCCTGGTAGGTGGAATGGAAGAACAGGAGAAGCAGCACGAATTTGTCCCCATCTTTGCTTCTGGCCTCCTTTTCCTGAGGCCCTGTTTTCCCTTCTGTCCTTTCAGCTCTGTTAAGTTCTCCAGAACACGTGCTGCAGGATGCAGGCTGAGCTTGTCGGGGCCCTGTTTGGTGCTGCTGCAAATTGGATGACTAAAAAAAAATAAGGCAGACAAAGTTAGATAAAATGGTGTTGCCTCCCTGCACAAAGCATTTGAGTCTCTGCCAAACAAGTCTCTCCTGTGTCATTACTGAAAACAAGCGCTGCCGCGGGACATGGCACAGCATCTTGTCGCAGCTACTCTTTCCTAACTCTTCTTTTGTCAACACAAGGCTTGGGTTTCAAAGAGGGAGGTGTAGGGTTAGACAGGATTCAAGCTGTGCTTATTTTCGGGAGAACGGGCTTGTGAAGTGTGAGCAGGAGGGACTGGAGCAGGATGGAGTAACTGGGGCGCTCAACACTGTGGCCATTTACTCAGGTAGTGGCCTTCAGTCTCACATTTTGTTTTACCTTTGTCTCACTCTGTCATCTGGCAGTTGTGAAGGGGTTATTGGAGGGGCTAACACTAAGCTGGTTTCTTCCTTTATGTGCTCTGGCCCTCCTTCTCAAGGAGTAACTGGTGCTGACACCTTGCTGCAGGCACAGCTTCAGAGGTTGTCCAGCTGAGCGGGTATTGTCTGTGGTCTGACTGCAACTTGCTGCTAATATTAATTAAATCTAAGGTTCAAAATTGGCAAGACCTGTATAAATGAGACGCGTGAAGCATCCCACAGCTCTCTGGTTATATTCTTGACACACAGATCTGTTTGCTTACACATCTCTCAAACTCCCTTGGCTGCGAGGGGTTGTTGCCCAAAGTGCTGTGACTCTGGGCTGTAGCTAAGAGGGGATATGCAAGCAGGATGGATGACCTCGGTGTTCCTGTTTGATCGCTTTAGCTGTGAGAAGGATGCGTTTTGTTCCTGAAGTTGCGTGTGTGGTACTTCACAGGTCGCTTAACCACCTTATTCCCCCCGCTATAAAATAGGGCTAATGGCTGTCTCTGTGATACAGCGTGGCTCTTCAGCATTCCAGTAACAGTTCGGTTCCTTAGATAAAGTTTATAAGGAGCTATTAATATATGTTTTATACATGAATAAGGGTGTATGTGCAGATATATGTAACTTCACAGCTGAAGTACCTTCTGATGTGGCTTTGGCCTTGCGCTGTGTCACACACTACCGGGACTCTTGATGTGAACGTGGCCATTTTTGATTATTCTGGTCAGTCTGCTTGGCAAGTGTGCTGACGCAAATCCCTATCTAACATCGGGCTCTGATACGCTCCTGGCAAGGCTGGTATGAGCCAAGCTGGTGGCCTAATAACAGGAGCAGTCGCTCTGGAGTTGCTTTGTGGATCTGTTTGGATTTTGTTTTAATAACACTGGGCGTAGCAGCAGGCTTTGAAACTGCTGTTTGCCTTTCTGTAGTAGTGGTGCGTCTCAGCTCCCTCCCGCAGCGCTCTGCAGAACCCGGATGGCTGCTCTGTCTCCCTTTCCCTCTCCACTGAGCCTGCTGTCCCAAATTCTGGCTCTTCCTGGCTGAACTCATAGTTGTACAACTGCACAATGCTCCCCATGTAATCAAAATCCTCTCCAGCAGTGTTTGGTGTAAACTAGATGTTGAAATTTGAAGGAGAAAAAAAAAAATCATGTGCCTTCACAGAGTTGTTTCCTGGCCTCTTTTGTGCCCCTGACTCCTGCTGTCTAACCTGATCAAAAGCCTTCTGGGGTTCAGGCTTGCTGCCTTGCGGGTTGTCAGCCGTTCTGGGGAAAGAACACGCGTCGCAGGCAGAACATCTTGCTCACAGTTTCCAGGGTTACCTGTGTGGTGCTGATAGCAAGCAGGAAATTAAAATGCTCCGTGATGATGATACGTTATCGACAGCAGATGGTGGCCATTAGGCGTACGTGCATGTCAAGGGAAGGCACAAATGCAAGTTGAGCAGACACAACTATTAGATTTGTGTAATTGCTGCTGCAGGTGCTAAGCTCCGCTGTGGCTGAGGCAGGGCACTCCCTGAGCACCCCGGTTCCCCTTCTGGCCACGGAGTATGTGATGCTGGTTCCTGGAAGGAACTCCAAGTAGTCAGTGTGGCTTCAAGCGTGCTTGTTTCTTGTTCTGATTATCAGCCCTTCTGTCTGTACAGCTAGTTGTCTCTTGCTGTTCTGTCCCTTGCTCTTCTATACAGTTTTTTCTCTCTTGTCCTTCAAAAGGCTCGGCTCTTAACTTGGGACTGGTCCAGCTGCCTGCAGTATTTGTGGAGACTATAGTGATCTGCTGTAACCTGTGTCAGGGTTGCTTGGTGACTTGTCAGGCGACTGTTAAATCTGGAAAGTCAAGTGAGGATCTGTTCTGTTGAGCGCTGAAACTAGCAAAGTGTCACGTTGTATGTTCCTCTTGTTACTGAGCTCTCTCTTCTTCCTTCTATGTGGGTTTTTCCACCTCAATTCTCTGTTAACTCTGAGGTGCAGAATGAGGCTGGAGTATGCATATGCATGCCTGCTTTCAGTTCAGGACAGCAAATCTCTCCCTGATCTGTGGGTACAGATCTGTCTCTTCAACTCTTGTGTATGCCTAAACAGCTGCTGGCTGGTGGATGAAATGAGAGTATCTTGTTTCCTTGCAAAGCATCCTTGAACGTAGTGATGCTGCTGTTGAAGTGTTGGCAGACACTGCTGTGGTGGCTTAGCTTTTCTTAAACCTCAGGCTCAGCTTTGCTTGTGGTATGTAGAAGCACTAATGGAAGCCCACTTTGAGATGTGCTCCCCTCCTCAGCACTGGCTTTGTCAGCTGTAGTCTTAATTGCTCTTAAGATATCAGTAATTCTGCAAAGACTAGACTCCTAACTTGGGCTCAAACTATTATTTAAAGAAAACACTAGGCTGACTTCTGGTGTAGCACGTAGGTTGTCTGACATAGCACTGTGGCAATTGTGTGATCATATGCAAACCAAAGCGTACTTGTGATGTTACTCTTTACTTGCCTCATGTGTCATAACCCTAAAATCTGTAGTTCTGAGAGCGCTGTGCTCTTGCTACAAGCTTTGTTGGATACCAGCTGGAAGAACCTTCCATGCTTGTGCATTTATTTTTTTTTAATGCGAATGTTTAATTTCAGATGTTCTGAATGACGCCATCTTTGATGAAGATCATGATGAGATGGTAATTGTGAAGGACATAGACATGTTCTCATTGTGTGAGCATCACCTCGTTCCGTTTGTTGGAAAGGTAACTCTTCCTCACAAAACAAATATGGGAATACATGATAAAAGACCTAAACTACATGTAAAAGACTTTGTAGCTGTAACTGCAAAGCTTTCAAAGCTGTAAGTATTTACTGCTTACGGCTATGATTCTAGAAGTTAATCTTCAGAATACAAATAAGGAAGACCTCCTTAATGTGAGTTTTATTTGTATTTAAGCTCCTAAAATATAAAGCTCAACCTTTCCTGGTCTAAGTAATCTAATGGTTTCTGACATTTCATATCAAAGCTCTTTGTGAAGCAGCAGCAAGCCTTGAGGGCAGACATCTTGATATTAAACCAGCTCACCCTGCATGCTGGCTCTGTCGCGGATTTAGCTTCTGGCTCAGAGCTATGTAGTGCCCATTCATCTTGGTCCCCCGCCCCCGTGAGTGGGACAAACTTCTGATGAGCAGCCCAGTCTTAAATAAGCAAGCCCAGTCGGGGAGGGGGTGGTCAAAATGGACTAGCAGGAGGCTGCTTAGGTTGGGGCTTCCATGAAAGGGGCTGGTGTTTCAGAGGGTGTTGAAATTGTGATGCCAGCAACTTTAGAAGGAAAATAAAACTTCTCAAGTTAACCATTGTAAATGTGATGAGTTCAGAGTGGGTGGTCCCTTCTGCAGGTCTCAGACTCTTCGCTCCCCTGTCAGCACAGAAGGATGGAGCTTGTTCTGATCCATCTGTTCCACCATAAAGTACTCACAGGCTGGAGAGTAGCAAGTGCTTTTGTTGTCTATGCAATTCAGTCACACCATGTATGTTCGAAGTAAACCACCCCACGCAAAATAAAATACCCGAACAGAAACCAGCCGTTTATTTAGTTGAGTCAACTCGATTTCATCTGCTTTCTTTTCTTGCTGTTAGTATTTTATACTGGGAAGCAAGGTAACTTCTTTTCCTGTGGAAGCTTTCTATTTTGCCTGTTTTTCTTGGTTACACGTGCTGTGTATCTTCTCTTCGTTCCTCCTGTGGCAATATATGCATTCTTTTTACGTCTAGCTGTTTAGCCTGTGTGGTTTGGAGAAATCTCCTCGCAAACACCGAATTGGTCCTGCTTGTATAGCGGTCTGCTAAATGACTTGGTATGCCTCTAAATATTCTCAGGCTAACCATTCTCCTGTTGGGTACATCAAACAGGTTGCAAATACTGACCAGGTCTTGTATTTGCAGTTCGATCTTAAATTAAGACATTTGCAAAAATACTCTATGGGGAACAGGATTCAACGCTTATTTCTAAGTTATGTCTCTCACTTTGTCTGAAATGTTTCATGTCTTTTCAGGTGTCAGTGGGTTGATTACCCAACAGAAGTGATAGGAATGAGCAAGTTAGCCAGGTAATTAGGTGCACTGTGGTACCTCTAACTGCAGGTACAGCAATACAGGATTCTGAGGTGGGGCCTCTAGGCAAAGCGCTAAGACAGAATCCTGACACTTCCCTACTGTATCTTGGCTAATTTTTCAAGTCTCTGGTACAGTGACACAAATGCTGGTTTATAATTTGTTACCCACTTGAATTCAGTGGCCTGTGTTGCTTTCTGAAAACAAGAAGCTGACTGCCTTTCCCCCTGCCTTCGTATCTGAGCACTTTTCTGCTAAAGAACTTACACTTGGTGCAACTGTGTTCAGTATGAATGTTCAGCAAATCTGTATTCGAGCAGGTTGGAAGTTGACTTAATCATACAGTGATCTGTGGTACTACCAAAGCAGGGGAAAAATCAGGAAGTGCAGCCTGATTTTGGTGGCTGAGTATTTCTTGCCATCAGAACACTTACATTGGAAGTACAGTGCAGTCCCTTTCCCTCCAGCTCCCTAAGTCTATTTTAGGTCTTGAAAGAAAAGCACGTTTATTTCAGACAAACGGTGCTGTGCTGAGTAAGAGACTGCTTTTTGTACCCAAATGTAGCAGTAACCTGTAGCGTTCCTGAGACTTGGAACATAAGCCTTGACTCTTGAAGAGATTTTTCTCCCACTCAGAAAAAAAAACTACCTCTTCTTCCCCAGGACACTGACCTCACCAGGCATTTACAGTCCCTGTTAGCTGCACAGTTTTTCAGGCTTGCATGGTGGCATGTTCCTCCCACATGCTAAGACTTCTGGACTGTTCCCGAGTTAGCTCTGGGGCAAATGCACATCTCATTCTCTATGCATGAGTCTCATATGCATTCAGAAGTGTGGTTTTGATTCTGTTAATGGCTTATTCTCCTCTGTCTAGGTACATATTGGCTATCTTCCTAACAAACAAGTACTTGGCCTCAGCAAGCTTGCTAGGTAAGTGTTAACGTAATGAAAGTGATGCTAATTTGTTAAAAGGATTCCAAGCTGTGCTAACTGTGCTAATCTTTCTAATCTGGTCCCCTTCTAAAGCTCAGCCCACTTTGTGTCCTGGATTTGGATTTAGACCAATGCTCAGCATTGTGTTGTTTTGTGGAGAGGGCAGATAAGTCTTAGAGCTCTGTGTTGATTCACGGCAGTCGACTGTAGTAGAGCGGTAACGCTTTGGTACATTCATCCTAAGCGTCGGTGTCTGCAGGGAGCACAGAAGCCAGGACAACAGATAATTTGGTCATGTTCTAAGGCAGACCACAAAAAACAGTGGGGATCTCTAGCTGTTTGCTACTTGTGTGTATATCGACAGATAAGAGCAAAAATCCAAAACTTCCAAACTGTAAATGAACGTGTTCTATGGCTAGAAATGGAATCTAAAGCTTTCATCTGTTAGCTGACTCTTCACAGAAATTTGGCATTTCTTTCTTTCACTCTAGGCCCGCTGAGAGCGCCATGGGGTGGATCTTATAGATAAAGTTCAGCATAAGAAACAAAGCAATTATGTTACACTCGAGAAATCCATTTGTGGTGTAAAATGGCTTTTTCTGCAGCAAGTGCCCTTGGATCAGTTGCTGCACCGAATCTTGTTATAAAGTGACACTTTCTAGTTCTGGTGAGAAATGGGATGGTAGATCCCTTCAATGAGCAGATTATTGGGGACCAGAGTGGAAGGGTCTGTCTTGAGAAACGAATCTGAAAGATTGTAGTTCAGAAAGACCACGTAGGTTCTGCTTATACTCTCCCTGATATGTCTGTTAATCTTGTTGTCATTCCAGTAACGCTAATGAGAATTAGCCTTGTAAGTCTGAATGCCTGCTGGGTTTTCTTAGCTGGTAAGAAATGTGTAGGATATGATGCTAAAGTGCTGTAGAGCCAGTCAGCTCCGTTCTGTGCTCTGCTTGCACAACAGTGGATTTGGGGTGAAGGTGGAAGGGCCCTTGGAGGTCGCATCTTTAACGTAACTCACGTTACAGGGAGGCCATCTCTGTGTCTTCTAGCAGTGCTTATAGGAGTGGACTTTGATTAAAAGGCTGAAACAGGCAGTTGAACGTTGAGATTTTTTTCCTGTGTGTTTTCTGTGGCCGTACCCAACTGCTGAAACTGTAGAACGAGGTTCTGGGCTGTCAGCACTGCAGTTGTTGGGCGAAAGACTTTGCCTCCTGTAGCTGCTTACGCTGGGGGATGTCTGCGTGGCACTTCATGGCTTGTGTTCTGTGTTGGCTGGCACTTGTGCGGCTGGATCCTTTTAAGTGACATGGGTGGGTTTTTTTTCCCCAAGTTGGACTTGTGAAGGTGAACATCCTTCCTGAAGAGGTGGTCTTTAGCACTTGGTTTCACTTCTGCAGGGCTTGAATGTGGGATTCGGGATCACGTTTGGAATACGCATCGCTTGATTTGCGCTTGCTCTGGTCCGTCGTTACCTCTGAATCGCAGATGTCAGGAGTTGTTCAAAACTCTCTTCAATGATTTTTTTTTTTAATGCAGGTGGCAACATGGTGCTAAAAGGGTACAATCTTCCCGCTGTCTGTTCTCAGTATAGCAACATGCATGAACACGCAAGGCCTCCTGTGCAGTGCTTGAAAAGTTAAATCTTGCCTCTTTTTCAAGTTAGGGTAAAACTGCCGTATACTGCAGTAACAAAAAGATTAGTTTCTTGTATAACAAAACGTTCTCGGGCTCCCTTGCTTAGCGTGAAGAGATTGGTGGGCCAAATCGTGCTTCTCTTTCGTTGCCCTATATAATGCAACCAGTGTTCAAACAAAGATTTGTGAGGCTGTTGGTACTGTAGGCCTAATCTTTTGTAATAGGATTAGTCTAATGTGGGGAGTTTCTGTAGTTGTGGATGACCTGTATTCAGTAAACAAACGTCTTTCTCTCTGGACTTCAAGCTCAGGCTTGAAAAATGCTAATGCAAATAACTGTTTTTACATAAACGTGCCTATAGGACTACTTAGGTGCAACACCAGTTGCATATAAAGTAGATATCAATAAAAATATCTGAGCATCAGATTGTTTCTTATCTGTGTATTTAATCTAAATATTATGTTGCTTTGTTTAGAATAGTTCTAACACAACCATTTCATTTCTGGAGGGGAGTTTCTGCATGTAATTCTCTCTCCAAAACAGCAGGCAAGTCTCATTCTCAGAAACGTTTCTTGTAACTAATGCCTCGGGCTGCCAGCCAGTGTCTGTTTTTTGTCTAGTCTGACCAGATGGGTACTGAAGCTTTCTATAGCAGCTTCTTTACACGGCCACCTGACGTGTAATTAAGCATTTGAGGTTGGCATGACTATCCCATTGAGTTACAGAGCAGTTACAAGACTTTCTCAAATGTGTGGGTTATAGTACTGCGGAGATCCATGATGGTGGTATCACCTGCATTGCCCCACAAATGCCTTGAATTTGAAATTATGTTGGAGGGGAGCATTAAGGTGATCGCTGCAGTGAAACATGAAGGATGGTGTGATACGTCAGTTGAGAGTATCTGTTCTAAATAAAAATGATTCTGGCTCATTGTTCTGAGTTAAATTTGTGGTTAAATGCAAGAATCCAAAATGTCTCTTGCTTAATTTCAGCAGCCTTCTGGGACTCCCAATATCTGAGTTGTCTTTAAAACAGCATTTGGTTTAGATTGAAGCAAAAGGAGGTTCTGACCTCAGTTCAGGGATTAGCTTTCAGGGAGTCTTTGGGCATGGATTCCGTCGCAACTGTGTGATGCGGGTGGGTGGTGGTACAAGTCATTCAGAAGTAACAGGCAACAGAAGAAGCTCTAAGAAGCGACATGTTTGCCCCTGAAATAGTCTCTGGGGTGGCTGGTAGGGGGAACCTCTCACTGAACATGGTGACGTGCTGCGGGAAGTCCTCAAGCAACGCCAGCCAGTGCGATGTTGCACGGATTGCCAGGAAGGATGCGGATCGGTACAGCGGTCTTGTTCGGCAGGGTCAGGTTAATTGTGACGCTCAGACGCTGGTCGGATGGGAATAACTATAACATTGTCTTTTTTCCTTTCTCCTTTAGGATTGTGGAAATATACAGTAGAAGATTACAAGGTAAATAGATGAATTTTGGGGTTTTGTTGTGCGCATTCCTTTGCCGGCCGGCTCGGGGTCCTGGTGATTGTAGGTGGACTATAGCTGTGCAAATTGTAGTGTCAGTTAAACCAGTGTGTTCTTGAGCAGGTGTTTCTCAGCTGTTGCCTTAGCCCCTGCGTTTCCAGGGAAGGGTAGAATCTGCCTATGAAAATAGGAGGAGGCAATAGCTGATTCAGAGGATAGATGTGCTACAAGATACGGCTGCCAAGAATAACTAAACTAGCTGGGTGCTGCTGGAGATGAACTCTCCTACAGATAACTTGAGAGATGCCTTCAAGAGCTCTTGTCTGAAGAGATGAAGCGAGAGCTGCCGTGTTACGGACTGCCTGCCTGCTGCCCCAAGAAGTGGAGGAAGCTGCAGGGTCCGAGGCCTTGGGCTGGGCTCAGCCTGTGCTCGTTGTCCTGCGGTTAAATTTGGGCTGCTCTTGGTGACAGAAGTCTTAGTGACCATTAGGTGTCACGCTGGTGAATAGAGGGTGCTAGAGCTGCAGGAAGTAAAGCTTTGCAGGACAATAGACTCTCTTAATTTTTTTAATCTCCATTTCCTTTCCTTAAAAAGGGAAATTGTGAGTAGGGGATAAATAGTGCAGCAGTAAAGTCAGTGAACATGTACATAAAAAAAAAGGAAAGAGAAGCGATAAAACTTAACTGCATAATAGGAAATGTAAGAGCTGTTATAACAAGTCATGCTAATGCAATTCCTGCACAGGTATCGTGCAAAATGATTCCCAGTACAGACAAGAAAATAAGAAAATAAAAGCTCTATTCCTGGGTACCATGAGACCGGATTTGGTACTGAGAGAATTTACTTGGGAAGAGCAGTACTTGTGTGCGTGGTGGTGGGGAGCAGGCATGCTTGGAAGCGCCGCTGTGGCACGCCGGTGGTTGCTGCTAGTCGGGTTTAACCCCGTGTCTGCCCTCCCTGTTGTTGGTCTTCCAGTCCAGGAGCGCCTTACCAAACAAATCGCAATAGCCATCACAGAAGCCTTACAGCCCGCTGGCGTTGGAGTGGTGATTGAAGCGACGTAAGTTACCCTGAGCTGCTCCCCGTGGCGTCTGGGCTGTGTGTGATGCCACCTGCGGAGCTCCTGCGTGCTGCCTCCTTGCCCCCTCAGCGAACCGGCCTGCTGGGTTGGAGGCTTCTTAGAGCTCCCTGAGCCACCGCAGAGATGCGGCAACTGGCCGTGTGGGCAGCTGTCCCAGTTGTACTGGGGCTGTGCTCTGCCTCAGGGCACCTTTGACTTCCTCAAGTAGAGCAAAGCTTGGGAGTAGCCACAGGCATGTCCTGGCAATCAGAATGCACCTTGGAAAGGGGAGATTTTCCTAGGATCAGAGGAGAGGGGGCGGCTCTCAGGGACTGGGAATTAGACTTTCTTGCCTGTAGAGGACAGCTGAGGTACCACGGACAGACGTCCGTTCTGGATGTGGAGCTTTTCTCACTTCCCCAGAATTTTAACGTGAGCTTGTAAGAAACATCTCTCTTTGTAGGATTACTTCTTTCTTTTCAGGTTTATTGACTCCCCTCTCATTTCTTCTAGGCATATGTGTATGGTAATGCGTGGGGTACAGAAAATGAACAGTAAAACAGTAACCAGCACAATGTTGGGGGTATTCCGGGAAGATCCAAAGACCCGTGAAGAATTCTTAACGCTCATCAGGAACTGAAACTGTGTTCTTCTCTAAATGCACTCTGGAGATTGTTCTGTCCAGTGTCACTGTCTGTTCTTACTTGTTCCTACATCTCACTTTTAAACTAAATCCTTGTGAATTGTTGTCGTGGTCTTTGTGCTGTAAAAGACTTCTGATGGCAAACGAAAAATGTAACGATGGGGTCGGCTCCTCCTGGATTTCCCATGATGCTGATGTTCCAGAATTACGAGCCACAAATAGGGGTTTGGAAATGTTTTTCCATGCACAATGCAGAATATACTGCTGTTGGGAGGAAAGTGGGGCTTGGGAGCAAAATGGTTATTTAGGAAACAGTTATGTTTGTTAGAATAAATACGGAGCAGCACAGGAAACAACTGAAAGGCTGTGGGTCCTCGAAGGACCACTTGTGCTGCAAATACCGTACCTCTGCTGAAAAGGATGGTCCTGAATTAGCTCTGACTATTTTATTACAAGTCCTGCAGTGGCTGTTTCGATGTCTGGATTATGTATGTTATACCTCTTTGAGATGTTACCTCTGGTGGTGTTTTATATTCTTGCCAGTATTAACCCTCCTTTTTTTGGGTGATGCGTGGGTGGTTTTGTTTGAGAAATTCAAACCACATTTTTCCTAGCCTCTTAACATGCAGGGAATTAACTGCTAAATTATTCGGGACACAGTCTTATCTCAATATAAAGGGTTTTATGCACCTTTTTCTCTGTGACTCAAATGTCTGACCACTTCAACTGTCAGTTTCTTAGTATTTTTAAGCAAATTTTAACAGGGGTGAGGGGGGAAAAACCCCCCAACCCCAGAGTCTGTCTTCAAAGTGTGAAGATATCCAAAGAAGTTTTTAATGATATTTATATCTTGAACTTTGTGTCTTGGATTTCCATGGGTTAGACTGAGAAGCTAAAACTAGTCTGATACTCCGAAAATGAAGATTTCTCTTCAAGCATTTCAAGGTTTGTGTCTCTAAGCGTTGGACCAAAGGTGAGCGCTGAAATCCTGAACGCAGCACGTTGTACCTCTCCTGCCTGCGGGCAGGTCATTTCAGGGCAAAGTAACCTGAAATGACAACTTATTTCGTAAGAGCAATTGAGAAAAGCATTTCCAGGGCCATCAAAATGAATTAAACCACATTTTTGTGTGTATGTGGCAACCTCTGTATGTGGCAGTATTGGTACAAAAAGTTTCAGTCAGCTGGACTTGGCTGAACGTCTTTGTTACAATTTTAATGGGTGTTTTGTAACTCGTAATTGGGAAAACATGAGACACAAATGAAAACCACCCTTCTCAAACCAAGCACAGGAGGCAAAACTTAAAAAATGAAATGTCAGCCAGGGTGTCAGATGCCCGCAGTGCAGGTTCCCAGAGTAGTGTCTGCCGAATGCGACTCCAAGACGTTCTGTACGCTGACCTAAACGGCAGTTCCTGGGCTGGCAAGCCCGACCTTACCAAAATTCCTGTCCCTTGCTTCAACCCGTGTGGGAAATGAAATAAAAATCATGTCCAGTGCAATTTCCAGTGGGCCTAAAGACCTTTCAAGAACAACCACCTCACGTGTTCAGTTACGCTGGTTTTTCCTTGATGACCTTCACAGCATTATTGGAAAAATCTTTTACGATATCCTCCGTCCTGGGTGCTGTGGAGTTAGGTGCTATAGAAGTGGTTGTCTGCTAGTGTAAGCAAGCTGTGTTGCACATTTATAAAACACACTAACTCTATGGCATTTGTTTTCCTCGGATGACTGAGAGCAGATACTGCCACTTTTCAGTTCAGTATGTATTTCAACTCCAGCTGAAAAGCCTTAAATCGTTCTTGCCTGGAGTTCAGAGTAGAACTCTTTCTCTTTTTAGCTCAGCAACTGGAAGGAGAATTTGAGGACCAAAGGGGCACACACTAGTACGCTTGTTTCTCTTTGCTCGCTTTAGTTTGGAAATCAAGTCTCTGTAAAACACTGTCTTGCTCCCGAGGTAACGAAAAGGTTGCGTTTAACCACTTATCTCTATTCAGGATAAAGTTCGTGTTGCACCACCGCTGTTTTCTATTTCCGTGTGACCTGTAGTCCTTAAAACATACCTCTCTCTACTCGTGGCCTTGGATTTTGTTCACATTTTTGTTGTTGTAAGACTTGGTGCATTTTTTTTTTTTTGGAACTTTAGTGTTGTTCAAGCTTTAACTACACCCAGTGTGTACATATGTATAGTACGTCCAGCCTGCTGTTGTACCATGTAAGAGTCCCTTGTCTCTAAAACATTAAAAGCACAGTATTATCCTTTGGAGTGGTGGCGTCCTTGGTGACTGGGAGGCGATGGCATCGCCCGAGGAAGTGGCACAAGCTCCCTCTCCTTGGGTGGGGGTTGTTTCTGCCCTAGCTGGTGCCCCAAGCCTGGGATGAGACGTTGCTCTTCTGGGACGATAGTTGCTGTTGTCCCCAGATCTGTCCCCATTTGTTGACTGGGCAGTGAAAAAAAAAAAACCCCAAGATGTGGTGTCACTTTTTTTACTGGTCCTTGGTGTCAGAGGCATCAAATTGGGGGAAGGGGGGAAGCAGTGGTTGCTCTGGCATGGCAGTTGTGTGCATCGAGGCTCGTTTGGGCTTATAGTCCCCTTGTCCACTTCTTAAGCCGTTCTGACTCCATCATCCCACTTCGCTGAAGAAATAATCTGGTTCCTGGCCAGATGTTCGAACTACCTGGACAAGAGACCTTGAAGCTGAAGTGCTGGTTGGGTCACTCCACTGTGCAGCATGCACAGCAATGAGCTCAGCTGTGCTGCTCCCTCAGCGGGGGGGAGGCTGCCCTCCCAAGGTGCAGATATTCCTGAGATTCAGGGGGAAAAAATACAAACTTTACTGGCTTCTGAGGAGCGTTGTAGCCCAGAGGGAAGGGGGGGCTGTCTGTGGCCATGCCTGCGCGCCCACGGCCCGCGTGCAGCCACCCTGTCCCTTCTCAGCACCCGCAGCCACCAGGAGGAGAGCGGGCCGCGCCTGCCTGCTCCAGGGAAGCCCCTTTGTAGCCCTTTCACCCCTAACCCTTGCTCTGCTCTATTGCCAGGCGGTTTCGAGGGGCGGGTGGTGCCTGTGCTGCCGTCGGAGCCGTGACCGCACCGACAGATGAGCAGGACCTCCTGCAGGCTGCCAGCCTCATCGGGCTGCGTTGGCCCAGGCTTTGCTGCTGCCTGGGTGAGACCAGGAGAGGAAAAAAGGGGACGATAAAGGAAACTTTCTGGTAAAGTTCATGAAAATGAACTTTATCCCAGCCAAAGCCAGCACAGCTTCTTTAATCTCTTAGCGACTTCTCTGTGCTGAAGCACGAGAGGAACGAGGCAAGCGGGGAAGTTCTTGGGCTGCAGGCGGGGACGGGGCCGGTACAGCGTGGCTTTGTGGGCGAGCGCTGTGGCAGTCAGGAATGGAGAAGGAATAATGATTGAAAGCCCCCTCCTGCCCCTCGTGTTTGGGTTTTTTTTTTTTAAATTTTCCAAATAGCCTGTCCTATTTGGAAATAACCCTCCTGGGAAGCCCCAGGAGGATTGTCAAGAATTGTCTTTGTCGTGAAGCTGAGTTACTTCTGTGTGTCACGCGGTTGTGCGTTAAAGCTGGTGATCGTGGTGGGAAACAGCCTCTTTGTGAAAACAGGCACTTCTGCAAGGAATTTGTTTATTCCCTGCCTCTTTGGGTTTTTTTTTTTTTTAGGTGTGGGATTGGGAAGGAGCCTCCCTGGTTTTGTGATCTTGGGAAAATCTGTTTCCGTTGGGGTGAAAAAATATTCAGCTTGAAAGTGTTTCCAGCTCAAAGCAAAACAAACCAGAAGAGAGCAATAACCAAATCTGTAAAAGAACCAAAATCTGTTATTAAGGTGACATCCTCCCGTGCCTAACCTACCCCATCTCCTGAGATCCCACCTGCTTTGCCACGAGCTCATCTCATTTCCTGACACCCTCCAGTGGTACGTGTTGCTTCTCAGGTTTTTTTCTCGAGCCCCCCCCCCATCCAACAGCTCCATCGTGTTTCTTTTGTATCGTTGTGCTTTTCTTTCTGGTGTCTCCCATCGTCTCCTGCACACATGCTGTGGGGTGACTGGCCAGCGAGTCCCTGGGCCGTGCCCAGCCAGGTCCTCAGCTCTTTGGTCCTATCCCCTTGCGTCCCAAAGGTTTATACTTTGGTTCAGGCAACTTTTTGCAGCCGGGAGCCCTGGGAGGTGACGGGTCCTGCTTATCTCACAGCATGAAGGTCTTGATTCCCCCGTGCTGTGAATTCCCCACAGAGACCTGGCTGGTAGGTCACTTGCTCTGCCACCGTGTCCCTGCTGTCCCTGGCGTGGGAGCTTGCTGGAGATGGAGATGCCTCTCCTGGAAACCCTGGGCAGATGTCTCCTGCCCAGCTGCATCGTTTGTGGCTGGACCTCATGCTTTGTGCTCCCGTGGTAGATTTTTGTTCTCTGCTAAAAAGCACAAATCCCAAAACTTCTTCCTCAAAGCACCCTCTTGTGTACAAGATCCTGCTGCCGGTCATCAAGGTGGGTCAGGTAGGTGGTGAATAACGAGTGCTGCTGCCCACAGACGTGAGAGCTGCCAGCCCAACCCAACCTGTCCCCAGGGGAGCTCATGGGAACATGGCCAGCCTTGTGGTTGGGTCTTCGAGAGGGAGGTATGAGGAGCTGGGCAGCACCAGCTAGCTGGGAAACCCCTGACAGATGGCTGGCCTGCAGCTCTGAGTGTTCGGCAGGAGAGGAGGACTGGGATGTCCATCACTTCCCGAGGAGGCGGCCGTTGGCCACATCTCACCTGGGCCAAGCACTTGTGGGGGAGCACCAGAAGAGCTCTGCCTTTCCTTGGGCATTCGTCCCAGGAGATCCCAAAATAGCCTCTTTCTAGCCAAAAGAGAGAGTCACCCAGAGAGAAGATGACTGAGTAGCTGCAGTCAAGGGCTCTGGTCATCCTGGAGGCTTCATGCAGCCATCGCAACCTTCCAGCAGCTCATAGTTACTTAATGAGCTCAAATTGCTCATTACCTGGCCTCTGGTTTCTGCCCCTGCTCTCTGGGGTGAGTTGTTGGTGTTGGGAAAGAGCCCCCAGTCAGCCGTGCCCTTTGAGCTTCGGCTGAGCCCTTCTGCCCAACACCAGGACACAGCCTTTACGAAAAGCTTGGCCTTCCAGTTGT